GGGGGGGGAACTCGACGCATTAACGGGTTTATTACAAGCCACGCCTCTCCGTCGCTTCTCATTCAGCAAAAGAGAAGTTTCGATGGAAAAGATCTGACTAACCACGGGAGCGAAAGAAAATTAACCATTTATATCTACGGTCCCTTTCGGAATAGCCCGTCCGTCTCGCGTCCGTGTGCAGATGCGATTTCGGGCGCACGTACGCGTATCTGCGTTCGCGTCTAAACAAGCAGACAGTATGTCAGATCACGCACCACGAATGTGCAGATGCAGAAAGCCAGAGAGACAGGACACCTGTTAACGCAGCCATTGTTGTTGTGTTACTCCGGACTACCTTAAAACTGTGACGCCAGGTTGCCATGGAAACTGGTTTACGCTACTGGGTCTGAGCGAGCGAGAAAACAGTGCGAGACATTTAGGAGTTTCATTTTCAGCACCACGCTCCGCCTGGACAGCGACTGCTCTCTCTCAACCCCAGCCCGCCTCTCCCGCAGTCCTCTTACCTGACTCGCTCTCCTCACCTGGCACGGCGGACTGGAAACCACCCGGAGCCCCCAAAAGGCTTGCACTGCCGAAGTCTTTCGGTAAGTAAGTTTCGCGATTCTTGTCACTTTTTTAATTATGGGGTGGGGGTAGCTCTCCTTCTCCGTCTTGTTGGTTGCATTGCGTGGTGTGTGACGAACTCAGGTGGTAGGAGCGAAGACCTTCACCCTGCAGGTATGAGGTATGAGCAAGTATGAGCCGCAGTGTTAAGAAGAATTCCACTGTAGGTAAACTGTATGCCTGCTGTTGCTGCGTTATCTCCGCTTCTGGGCTCTCATACACCCATGGTCTAGAAACAGAGAAGGGCAATAATGTGCGTCTAAGCCGTGTCTGAGGGAGCAGAAAGCGCAGGTTTCGTGTTGGAGGAGTGGGGCTACGGCGTAAACTTGAGGGGGAAAAAAAAAACCCCACGTTTTTAAATCAAACGAATCCTTGATTTTCGGAAGTCGCAACAGGACGTTTCCTCGCTGTTTCTTTAAACTACCTGCAAGCGGGATAACCACCTGTTGTGTTTTGCAAAAGTTCGAGACAGTAAATTGTAATTTACATGATTAAAATAAGGCGTCTGTGTTTGGGCAGCCGGGTATCGCGCACTGGCCTCGTTGCCGTAAGTTATCTTACATAACTTCATAGATGGAGTTGGCTTGAATGACTTTTTTTGTTTGGTTTGGTTTGGTTGGTTGATTGTCGCTTTTTTTTTTCACTCGAACGCAGAAAACGAGCGTGGCAGCGGGATAAATCAGAATGTAAACGAAGCGGTGCTGAACGGTCTGCATTCATCTCTGACATCCGAGGCATTCGGGGTTTCACGTGGCATTTAAAGACAAACACTCCGTTCCTCTCTGACACGAGAATCTCCACGGCGACGTTCGGGTGTTGTTTATTCGGCTTTAGCGTGCTGGAAATGACGCGACCCTCCGGGTCAGACCAACAGCGCTGCCGATCAAACGCGCTTTCGGCTCCGCGTTTGGAAAGTTCCGTGTTTCGGGTCCGTGGGGCTCTCGTGCTGTCCGTGTCAGAAACCCGTCGCCTCATGACATCCGCAGGCTCGCGGAATCGAGTTTTCCTGCTGATCGGTCGATCACGGGGAAAAACAGCGTAAAGAAATCTTTCTTTTTTACTCTTTTTATTAAGGCTACCATTCACGTGCTTTAAAATGGCAAGTAAGCTGATTTACAATTATTTGTGTGCCCCGGTTTGCATTTCTATTTAAAGAAAGGGGGGTGGGGAGCGGGGGACAGAGAGAATCAGGTAGAGAAACGTATCTTGGGTGCGTTTTTCCCAGCTATGACTCACACACAAGCTGATTCGAGAGAGAGAGAAAACGAGAGAGAGAGAGAGAGGGAGATGGGGCGGGGGGGGGGGGTTTGTTGAAAAGCAGAAAAAAATCCTGCAGCATCGCTGCACATTACCGACCTGCAGAGCTCCTTTACAGTAAAACTCTGGGGTCTTGTCTCTGTGATATCGATGACGGTCTGTGGCGCATATCCACGCAGGGGCCGATAGATCCGCGCTCTGTTTGACGGGTATTCCCAGCGCCACGTGCTGCCCGGCTGAACCGGCTCGCTCGCGCTTCTGTCCCGTCTGGCTCGCTGCTCCGCTGCCTCTTCATCGTCCCCAGCAGCACTCACACTCCTCTCAACCGGTTGGAAGTCAACACTTTAAAACACTGTTATTGTTTTCTTTGTTTCCGGTCACCCCCGCCCTCCCTGGCCCAATCTTCACGGCCCGGAGACGTACAGTAGGGTCAAAACGAAACGAACGATCGTTCAAAACGAACCTGCTCGCACTCCGTAGACACTGGTCTGAGTCAGAACACAGTCTCTCGCAGCGCAATAGTGTCTGTTCACCTGCGGAAAGGTGGGAAAGGAGACCGAAGGGCTAAAGAGAAAATTTGGTCAAAACACTTTACTTCAGGATGTCAACGTGCCCGAGAGGTGTCCTGTCCACTTCTAACACTGAACTGCTGACTTGTGCCTTTCTCTGTCCCCGTCAACCTCCTCGAAGACTCCTCTCTGTCAGTCAAAAATAAAATATATTTTCTGTGTGCAGAAATAAAGCACCAGAGCCCTGCACGGGGCTCTTCCCAAGAGATGGACAGATTTTCCTGTAAAACCAGTACAGTATGTGAACACAAAACCAAGTCAAAAAGGAACACCCTTAGAGTACTGAAATGAATTAACAGAGCCTTGTCTGTTTAAATAAGCTCACAGGGCTACAACGGACCCAGAGTGTCACTCGACACACAGATTTTGTAATACACGGTATACATTCCTGTTGAAAAGCCCCTGGTCTTGTATCACATGTAATTCAGCAAGCAGGTTTGCCTTGCAGGGAGAGCATTAGGTCTGTGCTGTACAAGGTGCACTAGTGAGGCTCTGACCCCTTCCCACCCCTCTGCAGCCCTGCCAGAGCTCATGGGGGAAGGTTGGCGCCCTACTATCTGCGAGGCTGCTGTGTCAGGGGGCACTGCAGAGCACACTGCACCTCGTGAGCTCGCCCAGTCTGCAGACAGATGGGCAAAGGCAGAAACAGTCTCCGCGAGGTGGTGAGAGGAGAGAGATTTTTTTTTTGCACTGTGGCCGAGTCTTGTTTAGTTTGCCAAAGACGAGTTTTTTTTTTCTTTCCAGAAAGACTTCCCACAGTTTTCGGGCTGAAGTCCAAACTCGGCCACCTGTTGGCGGAGTACAAAAAAAAAAAGAAAAATGTAAAAAAAAAAAATCTTATGCAGGAACTGCTTGTGTATGGATACAGAACATTTAAGTGATCAAAAGAAGCAGAAGTAATCTGCCCCCTTACCAAGGCTTATTTTATTCTGTTAAGAAAATAATGTGCATTGTGACAAGCTGATGTAGCTCCATTGTCAATTGCACAACACCACAATGATGAAGCGACAATCTACCCAGTTTGTGAGTATGCACACAAACGCAAATATACATCAAATGCATATATACCAGATAACATTGGGCAGCACCTGATAGGAGTTGAAAAAGTGATAGGCTTGTGTGTAAAGACATCATCTGTCTCATGCTAATGGCTGGTAGACATGGACCCAAGCAATGCAGGTGGGATGGGCTGTGAGGAGAGCAGATACATTGATCCATTGAAGACCCCTGAATGACCAACATGATTTGCGATTATTCAATTTCTTTTATTCAATGCTTTGCTGTAGATTCCATTGCAGATGCATGCCTCTTTATAATAAAGATCAAAATTAAAGGTCATTGAATTTGTGTGCATTATCATGAGTTTATTTACTTCAAAATTTAGATATTTCTACTGTGTTGCTGCAACTGTGCTGTAGGCAAACTCACAAAGGCTGCATAGGAAGATCAGCATTGAGAGAGAGAGCTCGATTTCAGAAATGACTGTACCCACAGATCTCTGCCACAATGAAAAAATAAGAATAAGAAAGTCTACAAACGAGTTGAGTCCCTTCGGCCCATCTGGATCCTTCGGTTTCTAGTAGTTAAATGATCCCACGGTCTCATCCAGCTGTCTCTTGAAAGAACCCAGAGTATCGGTTCAACATCATGACTGGAGCCTGTTCCACACTCCCAAAATCTATGAATACATTATTAATCCATTAATCACTAATAGAGCAAATATATTTTTTACCCAACGGAGTGCCCTCTCACTATAAGCAGTACCTAAAAATATAAAAAGTCCAATGATTCATTGTAGGACTCATCCTGATCTGAGAGACCCTGTTCATAAACACAGACACTGAAGAGCTACTGTAGACTAAAGCAGGGAGCTAAGAACAGCTGTCATTACCATAGAAATGCGTCATCATCAATCAGAGCAGTGTGCAACAGGCAGAACTGTCATGCTTCCCAGCAGCAACTGCAACTGTTTTACAAATATTTAACACCCTGACGTGCTGTGAAATGGACAGTTCGAATCACATTAGAAGTACTACCTTGGTCCATTTCACGTTTGTAGTCCAGCAGATTGCAAAGGCAGGATCAGAGCATTCGGAGTTGAGAATGAGGTTTGAGCTGTCTTTTTAAACAGCTGGTTTTAGAGAGGAAGTGGGGGCAGAGATTTGTTCACATGCAAGATGGGTTTGGGCATTTTGAGAACCTCGGGTTATTCTATACTGGAGACATGTGGAAAATTAGTGTTAATAAAGGTATTGCACTCACTTGAAAGCTACAGATGCTGTTTTCATGTGGTTGAAGTTCATATACATGGGTTATGAGTTTCTGTGCAAAATGTGTGTAAGGTAGTTTATCCCAATATGTCATCTTAACGGTTATTCCCAACTGGGTCGTGATATGAGGGTATGAGGGGTTTTGTGTTTCATAATGGGCAAGATTAAACATGTTCATCTGCACAGCACAGGAAACCCTATGGTTACTGTCCTACAGCAGGGTCCACAGCTTTAAAACATCCATTTCTACCACTAACAAATATTGCTCTTTTGCATCAGTCCACCATTAAAATTGAATGATGCTGCGTACTTAAGTTGTCAAAAATACTCATTATTATTTTTACAATGTATTACTGGGATGATCTTTGTTAACTTCATCTATTAATTTTGCACATATTTATCTTAACACAGCTGAAATTTCCAACAGCCTTGAATATGTCATCAAGGAGCTTTCACGTGTTTGGCTATAATGTGATTATGCAAAGGCAACAAATTTGTCATTTCTGTTATGGAGTATTATGGTGGGGTGCACACTGTAAGTTTACAGGCTGATACTAAAATATGTACCCCACCTCTTCACTCCCCATTAAATCCCTTAACATTTCATTTGAATCCCCCTTTCAGCACCCGATTTTTTAATTAGAGAATAAGCAACACAAATAATAATGGTTCTAGTTCACTGATTGCTTTGCATACGAATTCAATGTAGAGGATATGGAAGAAACACCTCATTATCATGATTCTAGTTTATGTCAAAAGCAGCATTTAGGTAAAAACAAAGGAGTGCCCTTTTCTCGTCCTGAATGAAATGAGCGCATGACAGAAAAGAGTTGGAATTGAGGAGTCAATGTCCCTGTCATAACAAAGCAATAACTCTGAGTCATTCTCAATGCAGTTATCTTCAACCATTCATTGCAATCCAAATTCAAAAAAGTCTGATGAATATTATTGTCATGGTTACTGCTTTGTCTGCTCAACACATCGTTTGTTGTGGAAAGCGGTGTATTAGTTGCACGGTGCTGGGATGAAAGGGGTTTGTATGTTGTGTTATGGTTTGTCTCTCGTTTAGAGAGGTTTTTTTTTATCAATGACATAGCTATGATTAATGCGTTGAGCCAGCAGAGAGGTGAGTCATAGAGGTTAACCCTCAATACACGCTGTGGAGAAGACAGGAAAGAACCTGCAGCAGGTCTGCATTGGGGAAATCTACTTTTCTCTTCATTTCGTTTCCACTTAAACACGGATTTCAGCATTGATAGAATAATCATAGAGCTACTTATATCAAAAGGAAAACAAAATATCCTGAAAAAGAATGAAATGTTCTTTCAGGGGAATTATCTACTCATTCATGGTGCCACTATACATGATTTCAGAGCCTGCAATCATTCGAAAATGAGCGCTTTTGCAGGGAGACCAGTACCTTCCTCTGTTTTCCATCATTTCCTGAGTAGCATGGGATAAGTGGAAATACTGCATACCCACAGGAACCTGATGGTTTGTGACTAGGACCTCGGTGAAATGCGTTTAGTTCTTATTTGTCTTTTTTTTCTATAACATGCGATGAAATAAAAATGCATCAAAGGAGTAAATCTGCTTCAACTTAATTTCTTAAAAACTTTCCTCTGCCTTGGAATATCTACAGTAGGCATCAAAGTACTTCCTCTCATCTTGCCTGACCTTATCTCGTTATCATTTTTAATTATTTGCACAGCAAATCCTGGGCATCTTATAGCTGCATTCAGTCCAAAATACACAAAATGTTTTGTTAAGGTCACAGACTTTGCACATATGGACGATATATAGTGCTACATATGTACCTACACAGAGTAGAACTGCATCAATAGTTACTGATTACTGATATTTGCAAGAGGATGCATATAACAGTATATAGCAAAAAGCATAACAGTAAAAATATACAAAACAGCACACCAGCAATCCCACATTATGGATACAGTCCTACTATGTGCACAGTATATATGTAGTCATGCAATTTGTCCAGGGGCTGAATTTGTGCACAGTCTCTGCTGGGTTTGTTTATGATGCCAGAGAGTGAAGGTGACACACTGTCAGGTTTTTTTTTCAGACACGATACAGAACTGTGCGATAAACAGAGAACACGTCGAGAAAAAGATCTCAGTCCGTCTGATTTCAATAAAAGCATGACTACAAGGCACTGCTTTGTGGAGACGCATTTGCAACTGAATAAGGAATGAGCCCTGGAAGGGAAAAGAAACATATTGGCATGTATCTGTCTTGGAGAGGAAACCGCGTGGACTACGTGACACACAAAGTCTCCTAGCATATGTCCATTCATTCTGAGGCATGCGTTTCCACTGTGGAGGGCACTGTGCCAGAGGGGAACCCCATGCCACACTACACATGGGTACATAGTCCCATTGCCTTGGCTGTGGCCAACATAATGTTCTCTTTGCTGCGAGTTTCTTAGATGTGATTTATCTTAGTTTTGCACACGGGGCCTTCAGCTGTTTCCCATTCCCTGTTTTTCTCAACTGCATTTCCATGTTCCTTTGTCGCTCACTGTAAGGAAAGCTAAATTTACCTCTCTGTGTTGCTTGAAGGCGTGCATTTTTCACACGGAACGCGAGATATGGGGCGCGTTAATAATAGCATCATGGAAGCTTCAGGAACCTATTAATAATGCAGGGGGTTGCATGTCATGCATACACATCACTATCTACCATGTTGATCGTGTCCTTCCAAATTTGATTTCCCTGTTAGTCCCTCTGCCTGTACAACCAGAACTGTGTTTTAACGGGGCTGTTTCATTATGCCGGGGTAGTCATGACATAAGGCATTATTAATGCAACATGATCATTATAAATAGTAATTAATACAACAGCAAGATGATAGTTGCAACACCCCCCAGACATTTAGTAACTGGAGCACTTTTTGTTCAAACTATTATCTATCACGGAACACACTCCTACCATGCTTTGCCACCAGAAAAGGAGTATAATTCAACACCGAATTTATACAGATAATCAGGAATGGCTTTGTATACTGAAAGCAAGCACAGCATTAACAAAGGGGTTAAAAGAAAGCTTTAAAAATCAATGTCATAGTTGTATCAATTCAAGCTGTTGCTGGAAAAATTTCAAGCCCTTCTCTCAGTACATAAAACAAACATAACAGTTTTATTATTTGCACAGCCTACCCTTTTCCCACACTTTAGATCTGCTTAGCAACCGCAGGGTCTTACATATGTTCACTTTCCAAGGACAAATATAATAAACGATGCATGTTCTGCCCAAACCAGGTTTTAACAGCTTGTTTTCTTCTCTGCTTTGATTGTTTTTTCACAGCTATAAAACATGACGGAGCACTTGGACCGCAGGTTCCACAACCTCACCAGGGAGCAGGTGGAGACCCTAGATCAGGTGCTCACAGAGGTGATACCCATTCACGGCAGGGGCAACTTCCCCACCCTGGAGGTGAAGCCCAAGGACATCATCCACGTGGTGAAGGACAGGCTGGTGGAGAAGGAGATCACTGTCCGTGACGTCCGGCTGAATGGCTCCACTGCCAGTCACGTCCTCGTGAAGGAGAATGGCACCAGCTACAAGGACCTGGACATCATCTTCGGGGTGGAGCTGCCCAAGCAGGAGGACTTCCAGATCATCAAGGAGGTCGTCCTGGGCTGCCTGCTGGACTTCCTGCCCAAGTGCGTCAACAAGGACAAGATCACCGCGCTGACCATGAAGGAGGCATACGTGCAGAAGATGGTGAAGGTCTTCACCGAGCACGACCGCTGGAGCCTCATCTCCCTGTCCAACAACAGCGGGAAGAACGTGGAGCTCAAGTTCGTCAACTCCCTGCGCCGCCAGTTCGAGTTCAGTGTGGACTCCTTCCAGATCATCCTCGACCGCATGCTGGAGTCATACCAGGAGACGGAACAGAGGCAAGGAAGTACAGCCTGGTCCAGAGGAAGGGCCCTGGGGGACAATGCTTCCTTAACCCAGGGTGCCAGCCAAACGGCAGCCGCCTGTGAGGAAGTGCTGTCCTCAAGCAAAGATTCAAATGAGCAGAGTGAGGGACCCGCTGTCCCCAGCATGGTGTCACCAACTCCACCACAGGACTGGCTAGGCCTAGAAAACCCATCGGCCGGCCCTTCCAAGGATGTGCCAGCTCAGAACGAAGAACAGCACCACCAAGCTGAAGGAACGTCAGCTGAAACAGAGGGCACTCCCCTCTCAGAAAGAAAGGAACCGGTGGTGGGCACAGAGTTGCAGGTGGAGGATAGTGTGTTATTAACAGTGAGAGAGGAGTTAGAGGCCAGACTCTGTAAATCACAGAAGGACGGAGAGGAGACTCCGGAGACAGACCAGAACAAACTGCTGACCGTGGTACCAGAAGCAGAGGAATGTGTTGCTCAAGAATCAGACCAGGAAGAGTTAGGGCTTACCACCCCAAAGGTCTTACCACCCCAGACCCACACGTCTCCCACCAAAGACTCCCAGGACACGGTTGTTGAACTGCCAGCTCCAGCTCAGAATCACAGCAGCAAAGAACTGCCATCACAGGCCCCCAGCAATGGGTCACAGGCCCCTGCTAAAAAGTCCTCAGCTGTGCCTAGTCAGCTCCTTTGCCCCGTAAAGACATTCACAGAGAAGGAGTCACGAGGCCAAAGTATTAAACTACCAGATCTTGCTAAAGAGCCAACATCTCAAGAACCAGAATCCTTGAGAGAGGTCCCCATGACCACAGCCGAACAACCTCCCTCCGAGCATCCAGAGTCTCAGGTTAACAGCTCCGAAGCCGAAGCCAAGGAGAGGCGTGCTGATGGTGCGGCTTTGCCAACCCCAGCCACAAACGCCACGGTAAAGGACAAAAACACACTGGCCGCGGGCAGAGGAACACAGAGTCAGAGCTCTCAGCCGACTGCCCCTGCCCCTGAAGTACCCCTACAGGGTAAAGACTCAAAGCCAGGAGACCAAGCCAATGAAGGTCAAGAAATGGGGGAGAGGGAGAGCTTTCCTGTGGTCCTGCCCGAGGCATCGGAGCCAGCTCTGCAGGCCAAGGATTCAACGAGCAAGGCAGGAGATTTGCCAAGCCAGGTCAGGGAGGCAGGGAATTCTCAAGGCACCAGCAGGGAATTGCCGGAGATCATGGTGGTGGCAGAGAGCATGTACGGAGATTTCGAGCAGGCGATGGACCACCTGCGGTACCGGCTGATAGCCACCCGCAACCCGGAGGAGATCCGCGGTGGGGGGCTGCTCAAGTACAGCAACCTGCTGGTGCGGGACTTCAAGCCGGCCAGCGAGACGGAGATCAAGACCCTGGAGCGCTACATGTGCTCGCGCTTCTTCATCGACTTCCCGGACGTCAACGAGCAGCAGCGCAAGATCGAGTCCTACCTGCGCAACCACTTCATCGGCGAGGAGAAGAGCAAGTACGACTACCTGATGACCCTGCGGAGGGTGGTGAACGAGAGCACCGTCTGCCTGATGGGCCACGAGCGGCGGCAGACCCTCAACATGATCACCATCCTGGCCCTCAAGGTCCTGGGGGAGCAGAACATTATCCCCAACACTTCCAACGTCACCTGCTTCTACCAGCCAGCCCCGTACATAGCGGACCGCAACTTCAGCAACTACTACGTGGCTCACGGGCAGCCGCCCTTGGTCTACCACCCTTACCCCTTGCACATTCACATGCAGACTGGGCTGGTGTAGCGGGGCCGCGCGGCAGGGCCGACGGGGCCGCCGGGATCTCGGCAGCAGTGAGGATAGCGCGGAGCGGAGCTCAATTTCGGAAAAAAACAGAAAACAAGAAAAAAAAAATGGACAGGCCAACCCAAAATCAAACACAAGTGAAAAACGCGTGCAAGTGCAAAAGAATCCGCGCGGCGACCGTCCTGACCAGGGCCTCAGAGAAAAATAACCGAGAGCACGCGACAAAATCAGAGATAAAAGTATTGGTCCGCGGTTCCCTGGATAGTGTGCATGATTCTTTTGCCAGAAAAGCTTGAGGCAACTGTTGCCTGTGGTTTAAAAATGATAAAGAGAAAGGGAACCCTGCGATCTGTAGAGCAAAAAGTACACGGGTTTAAGAACATGACAATTAGAGAAATAGGCCTTGGCTTTAAAACGATTGTGAATTCTGCAAGACAGCTAAGCTGAAGCATGGGAGGGTTCAGGTGGTGCAATTCAAAGGGTCTCTGGGACACAAACACCTGCGTTTCCCCCCATTTATTCAGAATCTGATATGTCTATGGTCTCAAGTGGAAGAGCAGAGCTTCTTGCTGGGTTGTAGTCATGTCAGTCATGTGCGTGCCCCATTTGATATCAGTGAGCTTTCCTGATTTCTGTATCGCTCCCTGGCACAAGATGTGAGGGGGCCAGAGGGACAGAAGGAAAGACAGTGGTACTGTGAGGGCTTTAGATATACTCGTAGTTCTGAATGTGAGGAGGCTGCTATCTCTGCCACTTTTTCCTTGCTTTTTGGGGAGGGCGTTTGAGTGAAACCCCAGCAAGAAAAAATAAAAAAGGGCAATTTTCCTGCCATTTGCTTCAAATTGTTATAGCAGATGTGAATGTGTTCAGACAGCTGAAAGACGGCTATTCTAGGACAATATACTGGCCTAGTGCAGAAGGATGAAGGCTTAGAGGGTTTCAAAGGCTGGTGGGAGTCTGGGAGGAGATTCCCAGCCATGTCACTGAAGCTGATATCCTGAAGCTTCTTTCAAGAAACCAGCTAAATGAGATCCTGGGATCAATTAGCGACTGAAAAACTAAACGGGCTAGGTGTGCTTAACCTTTCTTAAATTATTGTATTCTTCTGGCTAAACCAGGAGCAGAAATCTGAATCTTAGAAAAAAAGGCAGTGAAAATATTAACGCAAAAAAACCCCATTGAACTCCTCTCCTTTTATTGAACTGTTAAGATTAATTATTACAGTAAACCTAACAACAGTCTTTCAGGAGCATTAGGTTTGAAATCTAATTTCCTTTTAGCAATATATGTCCTGAAAGAGTCTTTGGATTACTTAATGTAGATGCTTAGAGGTCCAGTTACTTAACATGACAGTGACTAATATTAACTTAAAGCTTTGCATGTATTAAGGCAAGCCTAAATTGTTAACTTTTATCTTCTTAATAAATCATCCGTAGCTATAGGTACATCTGAGTGAGGGAGCTCTCCCATCTCATTGTAAAGACAGAGAAGATTCCTTTATAAAATATAAGGACTTCTGTACATTCTGTAGGTTTTGGCAGGCAGCAGTGCAGACGACAAAGTACATGCATTGCAGATTTTGTATTTATTAGGTGTTATTACATGCAGATAAAGAAATGTAAAATATATATTTTCATAAAACAAAAATGGTAAAAATATGTTTTGAATTCGGAAGGTTGTGATTTGTAGAAAAAAAAACATATAGAATTTTTACCAACACATAAAATTCCTATGTGCCATATTGGGTTTTAAAATGATTAGACAAGGGCTTTCACCCTTGCTGAATAGAATATATTCAGAGGTTTTTCGAGAGGAGCAGACCTAAATCATCAGAGATACAATTTTGCATGTTTACATTTTCATATCCTCTTGTGAACAAGGAGGCATTAAAAAGCATGCTGCATTTTTTGTGTGTCTTGTGAGCAAGAGACGACGGAAACGATCACTGCCAAAATTCTTCCGCTGGACACTCATCAGGCGACGTCTATTGAACTAAGATATACAAGTCATTAAACATAGAAATTTATATGAACTGTGTAGGTGTTCTGCTGTACACTGGAGATACACATTGCTCGGATTAGAAGGAAGAGCAATAGAAAATGTACAATTAACATGATATGAGCTGCACTGCGCAGACTGTAAGGACACAGCAGCAGAGAACACAACTTTACACAGGCCCAGAGGTCTGGAAAGGACCTGGAGAGGAACGACACTTACACATTCCTACAGGGATCAGAAGACATGAGGTTCCCCACCAAACCGTTCACACTCCAGAAACCCCCTGCCCCCCCCCTGAAAAAAATAAATAAAACAAAAATACAAATACTTTTGTACACCTTTGCAAAAAAAAAAGACTGTTTTTAAGAAATTGCTTTTTAAAAAAAGACTGTGCCAAAAAAAAGTTACATTATGTTCGAAGAAAGTGCAATACGACAAACAAGTTTCAAATGTAAAAATAATACTGCACTGCACTCTCAAAGGTCCTGGATTTAGTTTTTTTTTAAAGGCAAAAAAAAAAACAAATGAAAAAACTTGTTTGTTGACGTTAATTTGAATGTTTTTAGAGGCTTTCTTTGTTTAACCCTTGTAAATGTTGGCTAGTATGGCTCTGTATTTTTCAGTGTTATTATTCTTAACATTTCTGTTGAATTTGAGAGACTCCCCCAGCGACCCTGTATTGGGTAATGCGGTTAGAAAATGGATAGATGTTTAATTTGAAAGAACAGATGGTCTGTTACTCTTGTTCAATGTTTTGGGGTGTTTGACCAGACAGCTGGTGGGGGAGTATGGGGGTGCCATGGGCAGATTGCAACACTGTGCTCCAACTCCCAGGCAGTCCAGCCACTGATCCTCATCCCTGGGAAGCAACAGCGGAAATGGGGATATCAGCAGGGTGAGGCTGCCTGCGCTCTTGTCTGCCATCCTGGTCACAACAGCAGCAGAAGACAACAACAGGTCCTCGTCACACGACCCCCGCTCGGACTGATCCCTTGACACTGAAGCTGAGAAGACTCAACTGTGACCAAAGAAGGTTTTCTGATCTCACACAAGTGCCTACTGAAAAAAAAAAAAAGAGCAGCATGTCGCATTGATAATTTGTAAGAGTGAAAGTGTGTTCCATGAGATCTTGGGATTTCTCCTTTTCAGGTGTGTTGTGTCGATTCTGTTATGGTTGCTGTAGTCACTCTGTGATTTGGTCTTGTAATTAAAGACTCTTGGTGGGGAACAATTGTGCACTCTCAGGTACCATGGTCACTCATTTTGCTGTCCAATTAAAAAACGAAAACGAAACCTGACCATTGTGCAGAACATTGTCTTCGGCACCCTCCTTTTATTTTTCCCAATGCAACCTGAAACAGTGACATTTGGGAAGCGAGTGCTTCTCACGTGTGTTTCTTCAGCTGCTGTAGAAAGGCCAAGTCCTGTCATCATCATTCTGATGGTGGTCACATCGCTGGGCAAGTTCATCAGTTAATATTTCACTGTCCCTGTTTTCCAAGCTCAATCATTATGCTTCGCCAGTTATGCCAGGTGCTGTTTGTACAACCCACGAAGGCCCTGGTGAAGAGGTCTCCACCCATTGGTCATTTCAGACCTTATTGATCCAGGTCATGGGAACTGCTCTGTTGTCACATTACAGTGCAATACCCACACCTTCCAGCAGGGGGTCCGCTGTTGCGCCGGCGCATTCCAGCTCTGTGTGTTGAATTTATTTCAATCTGAAATTGATTTGAGCACGTTCAACGAAACTGCCCAACAAAAACAAACAAAAAAAAAAACATTCTGCCCACAATTTAACTAGACCTTTAAAAATGGCAAAGAAAGGCTTAATTAGATTCGGCTTCTTGTTCGCTGCACATCAGCTGGGCTCATCGAGCTCAATGGAGATATGTCTGTAATTTAAAAAAAACGTTGAGGGAAATTCCATACTCTGTGGAAATTTGTGCACAGAACGTTTGAAGTTATGGTATCCAGTGATGCCTCGTTTCTTGAACGATTTTGGAGGTTTGCTAAATTTGAATTACCGCACAATGTTAGCACTTGTAAAACACATACATAAGGGAAAGGTAATTAAGGCCCCCCATTTAAACAGCGCCTGCTCTACAACCAAGAGCAAGTGGTATTTCTTAGGTTGTGAAGATTTCACCCATCACAACTTCTTCAGTTGTCCCAAACTCAATTTGGGGTGAGTTCACAACGCGGTATTTCTTACTTCTGACCAGCAGAGGGAGCTGTCTAGAGTAACTGCTGGTCCAGTTGTTAGGACTGTAATACACTGGTCGCTCAATCTGCCAAATTCTTGGATCCCAAATCTTGGTTAATTCAGATTTTTTTTTTAATTATTAAAATAACCCTTTCTGACCTTCATTATGTAACGAGAAAACATATGAACAAGATGAGTTTTTGTTTTCTTTCTTCTCAGACTCTCACTTGTCTAATGCAGCACAAAACATGGCGGTGAAGCGCAAAACGAAACCTGCGCAGTTTGCACAACACGGGGCTATTTGTACCTGTTTATTTGAAATCTTCAATCATAATTAGTTTAGAAAGTAGAGACAAAAGTAAATGTTAATCTTGTATTACCCTGAAAAGTGTATTTTTCACATTAAACGTTGCCGATACACTACAATATCAATCCTCGCGAATCTCCGTTCTACATATCGCACAGCAGCCTCCTGGAGAGAACAGCACTCTTGGACGTTGAGTTGCAGGTCTCTCTTGGTATTTTATTCGCTGTGGATCTCATTAGCAGAACCATCAGACTCATCGTTCCCGTGCTGAAGTGGGCCAGTAAAAACAGTTCTTGCCGCAACTTTTAAAATCAAGTAGGTTGGAAGAGGAAAAAAAACAAACTTTGCTGACTTTTTAAGTACCTCGTTCTAAGCCACCTTCGCTGGCTGCGTGCAAGACTGAACCCTGGGCAGTGCGTTCAATCAACGTCTTAGAAAACCGCAGCCCCGAGACTTGAACGAGAGAAAACAATTAGGGTAAATAAACAGCACCCTACATCACCGAGCTCTCCTGTCACCACTAGCTCCAGACGGGGCGCTAACGAATGGGAAGACTCACCACGCCGGCCGGAAGCGTCGATGTAGTGTCTTCGGTGACACATTCCCCCATTTCCTCCTCACAGCCTCCGGGCGCGGTGTCTGCAAATTAACACCCCGGGGCGCGTTTCTAAACTGCGGTCCTCTGTTACCAGGAGTACCGTGAGCCGCCCGTGGCTGCCAGGTTTAACGAACGGGCACGTAA